CAAGTATTTCGAAAACTCGATTGGCAGCCGAAGGAAGGAAGAGCATCTTGCAGATGCCAGGTACGTAGCAGGGCTTCGTGACATAATGTTCCATGATTTCTATACAGAGATCTTATGGAATGGATTGATTTAGATATTTTCGTGATCTCCATGTTACTACTGTAAACGTCAAGGGCCTTTTAGTTTTGTTGTTTTCGGAAACCCTTTGTTATTATTATGATCAAGTGTTTGTTGTGACATGGTATTTCTCTTTGGGCTTGCATAAGAGCTACAGGTGCAGGACTTTTAAGGGTCGTGTCCTTATTCTCATAACGCTGGGATTTGATGATGAGGGTTAGTTACCAAGGGTATAAATCTGGCAAAGTGCATGTCAAACAAAATGTGGCATTCAATTCCAATCATGTGTTGCCACCTGAACCGCCTGAAAGTGAGATATGGATCACAATGAATAATGACAGCTTATCAATCTTTAACAAATTCACACTGAAACATTGAAAGGATAAAGACAAGTTAGTTGTATTCTGTTTCAGCATGTTCAGGGTTTGTGGGGAGGTTCACAGACATCCTCAGCATGCTCAGGGGGGATATAAAGTATTGAGTGAGTATTTTTGTTTGTGATAAATACAAACTACATGTATTCATCATGGTATATTTCAATGCAATGTGAAACATCACACTCACAATAGTCCAGCTCTGTGATGGCAGCCTGTAAATAATTGAACATGGACCAGGCAATCTAGTGATTGTTATTATCAGCAAAGATCCATGCCCTCAGAGTATGATGACAACCTAGTCTGACCACCCAATTCATTAGTTGATTAGTGTTTGCAGCGGTAGGAACTAACACTTTCAGTCCACTAGTCCTAAAATGATAGCATATAGCAAAACCTTTAAAATGTCAAAACGACTAATGCCAATTTCTAACCCTCGTGTTTGGATGTTGTGTTTGTGTGTGTATGTATGAGTGTTTTTAGGTTGGTTTGTTGTTTAACGCCGCAGTCAGCAATATTCAAGCTATATGACGGCGGTCTGTAAATAATCGAGTCTGGACCAGACAACCCAGTGATTGATATCATGAGCATCGAGCCACGGAATTGAGATCAATGACATGCATCAACCAAGTCAGCGAGCCTGACCACCCGATCCCGTTAGTCGCCTTTTACGACAAGCATAATGGCCTTTTACGGCAAGCAAGGGTTGCTGAAGACCTATTCTACGCCGGAATCTTCACGGGTCGAGTGTATTTAACTTAAATCATGAATCTTATGCTTGTTTCTCCGTGCTTTTACAATGTAACCCGAATTTTCTCGGGGATAATAAAGTATTCTCTTATTTATATCATTTCTGAACAAAGTGTCATATCAAGGTTAGATCTCTGTCAAAACAGTGCCATGGAAAAGCCAAACAAATAGCCTAGAAATAAAAGTAAATACTGCATTGCATTAATCTGCATTTCAAGAAAATTTGGCAATAATTCATGGAATGATATTCACCTCGAACAAGTTATTTCCTATGTAATGTATGTGTTGAATGACCCTGACTTTGTTGTCAAAATATTGTTTTGACATTTGTTAAATATGGGGATAAATGTCATCTCTGAATGTTTGACATGAATTATTATGATTAGGGTAGTTCTAAGTCGGAATCACAACCGGGGTCTTTTCATTTGAATCAAATGTACAACATGTACAGTTTGGACATTTTTCTGTGATGTGAATGCTACTTATGTTTGTAGAATGTCCGGATGAATAAAAGAGACAGTCATCTGTGCAGCATCAATGCAAAGAAAGACCATAGAAGAGCAACAGTGAGTAGTAAATATTTTGAAATTATTCTGTTTGGTTCATATGGTTATTTTGCAAATATGTCTTCAGTTTGTTCCTTATCGCTGTGGGCACGGATGCCCTATTATCTAAGGCACTACAATTTTCTGTGCAGAGTTGCATCTCTTGGGCTTAGCAGAAACCTATAGTCATGGGTTCAAATCCTGGTTCTCCCCGATTATGTTGCTAGGTTTGTCAGCATTATACACATGCTCGTGGGATTCATCAAAGACCTGCATCACTTAGGGCTTTCTTCCCACATCAAGCTAACATGCGGTGATATATCTGGAATACTGTTCAAAGCAGTGTTAAAGCCAACTCATTTATTTAACACTGCATCCAGCAATAGTTTGGCTATATGACAAGGATTGTAAATATATATTTTTCCATGTTGATGAGTTGAAACAATCACTAAATGACATCTCTTAAAAAGATTCCCAGCATTTCAAGCCTAATTAATAGATAAGGTAGTGATTGAGTAGGCTCATTGATCGCATGTAATCATACCACAGTGATGTGGGATATTGTCCATAATAGTTATCATTGGTTTGTCTGGACCGAGTTCATAACATTAATCACTGGTTTGTCTGGTTGAGATTTGAGATGTGATTATCTTAAATGTTTAGCATATAACAAGACTCACATATGACAACTTAAGTGATTTTGCTGCCTTCTATCTGTAAGTACATGTGGCAACAATTCTTTTTGATTGCTAAAATCTTTTTACATAATGCTGCAGAAACTGAAGTCCTGCTTGAGATCCCTGGATGAGTACTCAGACCAGACAAGGGAGTCCTAAACAGAGGCTGCACCCCTTCAGATATCAGAGGTGATTTGCAGACAGCGATGACGAGGGTCCTGTTATTTCAATGGAGGCCGACCGAGAAGTTGTATGCCAAATGGTACTGGGACACACAAAGGCTGGTCTGGCTAATGTGAGAAGACCAACCAATGCCAAGCTGGAGTGGAATTCTTCCAGGACATTCAGGAAATTCTTGTCTTGAGCCATATGGTAAACACTTGAAAGGAATGATAAATGGGACTTATTGTCTTTAAATGTGGACCCAAATACCAAATGGAAAGTTCACAATTCTACTAACACAATGCAACAGAGATAGAGTCTAACTGGTATCCCCTCATCCTGGTTCCTGTTCATCCATGGCAATATAGAAAGAAAAGGAGGATTGTCAAGCGAACAGTTATCACACTCTGTTATGAGTATTGAAGAATAGGATGAAATTGCATACTGCATCAGGAACCATCATGTGAACACTGTTCAATGTGCTATATACTATAGGCATATGAATAAAAGAAATTGATAATTTGATTGTTGCTTATGTTTCATTTGCCAGCTGTGTAAATGGGGATGTTTCATGATTTTGCCTCAGTTTAATAGCCACACTTATCTTATGAAACCATGCATTGCTTGGGCATCTCAAGATAAATAACACATGTTTCCTTTGCTCTGAAAACGTCTGATGACACATTTATCTGTTATGTCAAAGGTCAAAGTCACAACCAGACAGTTTGTTTGTGGTCTAACTCTTCCTTTGGACAGGGGTCGAAGTTGGAAAAAGGTCGTGTGTGATCTATATATACTACATTTTCCCCTAAATTGCCTTTTCTGCAGAAGTCTTAGTAACTCCTATACATATACTGGTTACATTACTTCCATATTTTGGTCAATGATATGTTGAATTCTACCAAAGGACTGCATATTTGGTTTATGTGCTGGATAGCTTTGAAATGTTTTTGAAATATTTATCACTGATATTGAAGGTCAAATTCACACTCAAAAGTGATAACTCTTGAAGGGTTGAAGTGTAAGATCAAGGCAATAGTGAAGGGGTCATTCATAAAGTATTTCTGCAATTATAACTAAAATGCCTATTTCTGGAGATATTTGTGAAGTATTAAGCACATAGTTGTTTTATTATTTGAATACACATATATGTGCAGTGGTTACAACTCCAGTGTCAAATTAACTCTCAATCCCTTTTAATAAAAGAATTCACAGTAACTGAGGAAGAGCTTACTGTAGTACCATAAAACTAGGGTTAGGCAAATTTCAATGAAGTTAGTATTTTGGATATAACAAGTACATGTACCGTTACAAATATTATCATCTTACTATCATCTCACTAAGACTAAAGGCTAAAGTGAGCACATTGTCAATGACTTTTTCTCTTTCTCAGTACAAACTGGAAGTCTGGACATGAAATTTAAGGATGTCATTATACGAGAACTGATGTTTGTTCATTAAATAGCATTAACATCTGAAAAGGACAATAATATTATATGAAATTGAACAATTGTCTTCTCCAAAAATGTTTTAGGAGGATATTTACCATTAAAGTAACCCAGAATATTACAACAGCTACCTGTAATGCACAGGCTAACATTTTTTACCAGAAACAAGTCATGAAGAAAATTTGCATCCGGATACCTTCCGGAAACCTTCCAGATGCTTTCAGCAACCTTCAAATTGCTTGGTATTTTCAAGTTAATATTTTTATGTGTTTCACACTTAAGTGAACAAAATGCACCCCACAAATTTGGACATTTTTTTTGGAAGGTTTCCGGAAGGTATCCGGGTCGGATCCAAAATGGGTAGGTATCCGGAAGGTTTCCGGAAGGTTTCCGGAAGACGGAAACCTACACTTTTTTTGCTGTGGACATGAGAAGGAATGATACTGAAAGTCGCCAAACGAGACTCGTTGTAGTAAACGTTAAGGGCGATCAGACACAAATCTGTTCAATCGGTTGTAAATTGCAGGAGAAAATACACGTGTCCCTGAGATTGATATCAATATAAATGCAAATCATGGATATTTGAGAAAGGAGTGGGTGACAATACGTTAGACACTTGCGTCATTGGCGCCACGCCATGCACAGTGACAGACACTTATTTGACGTCATCATGAGAACTCAGCCGTCTATAGACATGCTTGATTAGCCCCGACATACATGTACAACCGCCACTGAGACAATGTAATGCATTTACACTACGTTAATGTACCGTGTTATAACATGTACCACCATTAGACATGTGCCATGCACAGTGACAGATACATATTTGATGTCATCTTGAAAACTTACCCGTTGTAGTCATGATTGTAGTAGCCCCGATATATATGTACATCGGTCACAGAGACATTATAATGCATTTACACTTACCGTGTCAGGAAATATACCACCCATAGACATGCTTGTACTTCCAATAATCAGTCGAGATATGCAGACACAAACAAGTAACACACCAGGAAGTGATTCATAGTGATAGCCCGGGTAGACACTACAGAACCGGTTTGAGTTGTGCTTGTTCATGGAAGCTAAATAAAGCCCATTGTGCCTGACTGTACATAGGCTAACATATCACAACATTGTGAGTGTTATCTTCAATGCAGCCACCCTCATGTTGAGGCTATGGAACATTATGACATATCTACTGCTGAACAGGTGCTTTGTTACTGTCACGAATACCCAGTAACACATGTAACACCACACCAGGAAGTGATACACGGCCACATTCAAGGTCGCTATTCAAAACGTGTTTGGGTTGTGTGCAGGTTTCTTTTCCCCACAGAAACTACATAAAGCACTACTGCCTGTTGATTGAAAGTGAGAGCTTTATGCCAGCGCCACGCGATTAGAAAGCTATTATGTCTGTCCCATTTGTGTGTAAGTTCGTTTTATATTTGTGGAGCGGCCCGGTTCTCAATATCCATGGCTCACTCATGCAGTTCACGCGAGTTGTCAGAGTTTTACCTGTACACCGGAAATATTCACTGCTAAAAGGTATCGTCAGATTCGGTCCCACGTCCTCAGACTTCTTGGCAATAATACGCCATTGCTACTGTGTGGACAGCTAACATCTGTAAATAAATAAGGCGACAAAGGCCTTTCCATATCCTAAAGAAATCTCTGCATAAAGCAGAGTCGATTGTACGAGCCCGACTATATCATGTGTTTATGAATCACTAGCAAATAGTAAGGATACCAGGTTTTAGCGAAAAGTTGAGAATCAAATACAAACTTCACGGTACTTCAATGGGGACAGCTAATTGGCAAACGTTGGTTATCTCTTGCAGTTTCCTCATCCGCTGATCATCTGCTCACATTCAAGATGTCAGAAATCCCGACCCGTAAACACTGCCTTGATAGAATGTCAAATGATCCAATCATGCAGCAAACATTTTTGAATTACTGACCTGTAGACACTGCCCTGATAGAATATGAAATTATCCGTTTATGCAGCAAAGATATTTTAAGTACTGACCTGTAGACCCTGATAAAAGCTGATATGTTTGCCAAATGCGCGTTTAAATAATGCCAATATGCTTCTCATTAGAAACAGCCATTGTAGTGGTTGTAGTGTTGTACCTTGATGGTCCACTGGCTGTGTTAATGGGCAGGGAAAATGCAATATCTGAGTCAGGATATTTCATACAGACTTGAGTCACAGAGACTTGTGTTCCAACACTGACCGCCTTACGCCTCGTCGGTCTAAAGGATGGAGCCTACATAGAGGTTTCATAGAGATGATGGTCGTGGATTCCATCCCCTGACCAGGTTATGCCAAAAGAAGTAAACAGATGGTACTTGTTGTTTCCCTACCTCTTTCATTAATGGGATACAACAACGATCTCTCTTTTCAGAGTCAGTATACTGTGTCTGAACGGGTATCCATGTTAAACTATGGCATGGCATATATAAACATATCTAGCACAATGGAATGGGCATAATTCTTGAACGTACATGCATCCACACACACACACACACACACACGCGCATGCACGCATGCACGTCGTTATGTCAATGCATTAATCTCGACAGCGACGTTAAACCCCATTTCACTTCACCTACAGATTGAATATACACCCCACGCATGCATGCATAGATTCAGTGACGGGGGTTCTGATGTGACACAGCATTAATAGAAAATTTCGTCTGTTATTGGTGTAATTCCTTGAGGGCAATCAGTGTCAGGCCTAAAATACTAAGCGCAGTTTTTGACATTTATATTTCAGCAACATGTCGGCAGTCCGGAAAACGAACGCTGTAATGGTGTGACGGATTAGCCACACAGTCGGGTTAGGTCCATCCACCCAAACAAGATTCAATTTGGCAGAACGGGCCACATAACTGTGAGTGAGCGTGGCCTGCCTCACCTGTAGCACCCGCCATTCACACAGCTTGCACAACAAATGTATCTATTGTCTGGCACCGCACAGCAGGAACATCATGTGGGAATTGTCAACATCCTGCCAATATTCCATCATCATTTAGGGTCTCTGTACTAGACTTATTTAAACCTGTCGTACACCGTGGGTTTACAAAACACGGATGCCCTATTGAATAGAGTGTGAGTAAAAGTAGGATTTCCTATTGTGTGTGGGGGCGCTCGGGTAGCCTAGTGGTTAAAGCGTCTCACCGAAGACCCGGGTTCGAATTCCGACATGTGTACAATGTTTGAAGCCCGTTTCTGATATTGTAAAACCATACTCACTCACTCACTCCTATTGTGGGACAATCTTATCTGAGGTATCAGCGTCATATTCCGTACTCCTTTCATTGTGTCTGCATTATGTATTTGTCCCTGAATGTTAAGTGTCGATACCCATGATTTAGTGTTCCTCTAGTGTATGACTATGTTTGTTTGTGACATTTTTCACATCGCAGAACATTTTACTGATATGTCCAGCATAAACTTTGGTCAAGTATGACTGTTCGTCATCTATCCATTAAGAGCCCGTACAGCTCTGAAACAACTATCACACACACAAAATCAATCATGACAGTAGCAGAAGAATTTTCTTTATAAAAGTATCATACATGGTATAACGAAATTTCAATCAAATGTACACACACAAAGCACATTTTCGAACAGTCAAGGAGACACGAGTACATTAAAACACAAAAACCAATAAAATATACTCATATACTTGTCCACATCACAAAATACAACACAGGACAACATCCAGGGTACATGGTGATGTGTATGGGGTGTCATGGGGTTGTCAACATCACAAGTACAACACAGGACAACATCTAGGACACACGATGATGTGTATGGGGGAGTCATTGGGTTGTCAACATCACAAGTACAACTCAGGACAACATCTAGGACACACGATGATGTGTATGGGGGAGTCATGGGGTTGTCAACATCACAAGTACAACTCAGGACAACATCTCGGACACACAGTGATGTGTATGGGGAAGTCATTGGGTTGTCCATATCACAAGTACAACACAGGACAACATCTAGGACACACGGTGATGTGTATGGGGGAGTCACGGGGTTGTTCATATCACAAGTACAACACAGGACGACATCTAGGACACACGGTGATGTGTATAGAGGTGACAAGGGGGTTGTCCATATAAGAAGTACAGGCAGGGAAACAATAGGTACCAACAAGTTTTTATTGGTATAAGGTGTCAAGCGGAACGAACCACCGATCCTGGAAGTGGTCGAAATTTGTATGAAATAGAACAGAACATTTTTCATGTGCTGAGACTGAGAAATGTCCAGACCACTGGGGCCCAAATATTGACCACCCTGCCATGTTGCATCAAGATTGCGGTGTATGTATCACTCAGTGGAAGCGGATAGGTTTTCGTATGGACTGTCAGCAGGTGCTGTGTTGTAGTAGGCCGGGGACTCCTCGCTGTTGACAGACAGGGAAGTAGGAAACTTTTCACCTGTGTGCCCATGATCCAACTCAGTGTAGTTGTTATCAGTGTTAGGGTCACGTGACATGGTGCTGTACATCTGGCTGTTGCTTTCTGCGATGTCTGGAACAACACACGGCACGACAACATTTAGGTGTAATTGTATGAAATATAACACTAATATTGTCTCCTTATAGTGAAATGGTGTTAAATGCTGGAGAACAGGTGACGCATCAACTAATGCATTTATGAAACGGTGAAATGATATAAAAAATTATCTCTAAACTAGTACGACACACTTGAATATACAACCAACAAGTAAATAGTTCACAGAAAATAGATATGTACAGACAAGCACAGAGTGTGTAAACAACGCAGTGGAATCATGTTATATTGGACACTGTGAAAGAACAGCACTTACCCTGCTTGTATTTCCGTACGAGTAACACAGAGGTGGCAATGGCGACGACGATGACGATGACAACGATGATGCTCCCAGCTACAGCAATGATTGGTAAAATATTTCCATCTGGAGTACAAAGTAAACTCAACTTGAATCGTTATATTTATCATTGCAGTTTCAGGACCATGTTGTAGGTGTCGGCCACATTAATCAATTAATTAATGTGGCCGACTGCAAAGTCTGAATATCATATGTGATAAATAAAATGATATAAAATGAATAAAAACAACAATATCCTTTTCCACAATCATAAGTAAAATCGATTCTAACTTCATCATGAGTGTTTAAGAATGACAATGATAAAGTTCGTCAAAAGGTGAGTGTATCATGTCTCACAGGTGGCTCCCATCACAAATACATGCGAAGGAAAGTAAATTGTTCACGTAAAAAGCAACAACACAGAAACATATGGTACAAGTCAAAATAAGGAATTGCATCGGACACCATTTTTGTCATTGATGAGTCAAATTTGGAAAAGTCAACATTTCCACCGCAATACTTTTAGAAAGCTTTAATGGTGTCTTGAATGTTGTAACCTCGATCAAACAACTTTTGATGGAGAATCTAAAGAGTTCTTTCAAGAAAGAGCTTGCTTGATTGTATTTCAAAAGACACCAAAGGCTGGAGCCGACATAAACAGAACATTGATTGTTGGAATATTGAAGTCATCCCTCTTCATACAGTCCTGTGATGAAGTTTTTGTCATGCTGAATCTTTAAGCATGGATCTTAATATGAAACAGATGAGCCTTTTTCACCGAAGCTAAATTCAGCCTCTATTTTGCCAAATGTTTTAACTTCTGTTAACTTAAATGAACAATTATACATTCCATCACAATGTCTTTTCCCTCTATAATGATCGTGTTTAGTAGTTGTGGATTTAAAGTTGTAAAATGTCCTAATTGTTTGGTTAATCATTATAAATTACAATTTGCTATTGCTGTTGATACTCTTTGTGTGCATTGTATATTACAAAGTAGTAAAGTAAATGCATCCCATTTTATTTTCATAACGGAATTATCAACATAATCAGAGATTTTTGACTAAACGCCAGTGAGGAGGATTAATATAACTATAATATGTATAATATAATCAAGAGTAAGTGCAATGACACACCTTCTAAGGTAGATGGTGAAACAATTGCTCCAATCGTCATTACAGGATCTTCTGTGGACAGAAAAAGATTGTGTTATGTGTTTTTAAGCCTCACGAAATTCAGTACCACCTTCACATATATTAATACATGGAGTGTGTATTTACACTATATATATATATTGTACGATATCAATAGTGATGTTTTTGCTGAACCGTCGTTCTACCTGACACATCCCTTTGGTTGATCAACGTCCATTGACGCAGTATATTATATCAGTATTTATCAATATTCCAGCTATAGGCGGCGATCAAGCGAGTCAGCGAGCCTGACAACCCGATCACGCTCGTCGCCTTTGGTGGCAAGCATGGGTAGCTGAAGACCTTTTCTAACCTGGACCTTCACGGGTCTATTATACAAGTGAATTACCTTGCATGGACTCTTTGAGTTCAACAGTGATCTTATGGCTGAGCTGTTGTCTAACCTTACACCTCCACACAGAGCCCTGGTCGAGTGTAGAGTTGGTCCTGAGAGTCATGTTGTGCTGCCGGAGTCCTGTGTCCTGACACAGACTGGTACTCGGGGGAGGTGGTGTCGTACACCAACATGGACCTTGGTAGGATAGTTTGAAATATGTTCACTGAGTTCCTGGACCAAACAGTTTCTGTTATGTCATCTGTTCCTTCGCAAGTCAGTTTAAGGATCTGTTCATCTGTGCCTGGATGTTTTGTTGCATACACCGAGATGGACACTGGCAATGAGATTATTATTTATAATGCCTGTCACTGGTTACACAATAATAATATACCGTTTCCATATTCATAAGAAATCTCGACTGAGATCGATTGTACGATTCCGACTATATTATGACTATGTGTAAATGAATCACTATCAAACAGGCATGATACCAGGAGAAAAGGGGAGCGTATCCTGCCCAACTAGTTGCACTCATCACAAACATGTTCGCTTGTAAAAACACAGGAACACATGTTACAAGCCAAATGCGAATTGCATCGGACATTTTGTCACTATTTTGAAATGTTAGCGACATGTCTACTATAAAACTTACTGAAAGTGTTGCACTAGAATGCTCAGTATTGTATGTCTGTACCCGGTAATTTGCAATTGGCTTCCTTCTTTCTGTTATCAACCCACTAGTATTCCTTGACATTTACAGTTGGCTTCCTTCTTTCTGTTATCAATCATCCATTATCCCTCGATATTTAAAGCTGGTTTCCTTCCATCATCAGCCATCACCCTGTGTTGTATACCCTTATACTGGTTCCATTATCAGATTGTAAGCCTGTTCTGTGCTGTCTTACGTCACACTTGCTAGACAACAGTATAAGGATTTGTACGGAAACGTCGTATCACAATTGAATAAAGAAGTTGTTATCCACAAAATATATACTACTATTACTTGCTCACTTCTACAAATGCCAATCAAACAGTTTTAACCGAGACATTGAATGTCGTAACCTTGATCAAAACACTCTTATTAAGGTACATACAAAACTTCAAACCTAGAGAACAATCATTCCCGATCATCTGCCAAAACAGATTATATTTGACACAAAATGCCAACCAGCATTGAAAATCATACGAATGGGTCACTGTAAGTCAATGATTACACCAGGCGCTCGAGAAAGAATAGTCTATTGCTCTGTAGGTTAAAACACAAACAACAAATCATTAAGATTGTAGGGTAGCCCAAATCTCTGATCCACAGCTTTAGCCCAGATCTCTGATACAGAGCTTTAGCCCATCTCTCTGACACACAGCTTTAGCCCGAATCTCTGGCACACAGCTTTAGCCCAAAACTCTCGTACACAGCTTTAGCCAAATTTCTGACACACTGCTTTAGCCCAACTCTCTGACACACAGCTTTAACCCAAATCTCTGATACACAGCTTTAGCCCAACTCTCTGACACACAGTTTTAACCCAAATCTCTGATACACAGCTTTAGCCCAAATCTCTTACACAGAGCTTTAGCCCAAATCTCTGATACACAGCTTTAGCCCAAATCTCTGACACAGCTGTATGTATGTTATTCCAAACATATGTTTTGTTTTGCTAATCCATTAAAATGTTTCAATAATAAGTTAATTACCTTGAATAGACTCTTTGACTTCAATACTGATGTTGTTGCTGAACTGTTGTCCAGTCCGACACGTCCACACAGAGCCCTGGTCGAGTGTAGAGTTGATCCTGAGAGTCACTTTGTGCTGCTGGATTGAGGAGCTGACACTGATACGTCCTGACACAGACTGGCACTCGGAGGAGGTGTTGACTGGGGAGTGTATTACAGTTGGGTCGTCACTGATTGTTTTGAATATTTCAACTCCATTTCTGTACCATGCTATGGATATATAGCCACCACTTCCTGGTTCACCTGCACACGTCAGTGTGACCGTCTGTCCTCCGCTTGTCTGGGAGAGTGCCGGAAGGGAAGGTCCTGAAATGATGATGTATAATATACATGTATACTGTTGGGGGTGAGTGTGGCACTCTACCTCACGGATTGTATCAAATATGTTAACAGTGTTTCTGCACCAGCTGACACCTTTCAATGTCTTGCCATGTCCGTTTTGTTTTCTTCAATCATGAGTGAAGTACCTCGAATAGACTCTTTGACTTCAATAGTGAGGTTATTGCTGAACTGTGATCCAACCTGACACCTCCACACGGAGCCCTGGTCGAGTGGAGAGTTGGTCCTGAGAGTCACGTTGTGCTGCTGGAGGGAGGAGCTGACACTGATACGTCCTGACACAGACTGGTACTCGGGGGAGGTGGTGAGTGGGTGGAGTATGGCAGCAGATGCGTCAGCATCACTGCTTGTATCAAATATGTTAACATTGTTTCTGTACCACTTGACACTTATCAATATCCTGCCCTGGGCGGGTGTACATGACAGTGTGAAGTCTGCTCCATCTGAGGCTGACTCTGGGTAGCTGGTCAGGTGGGGAGGCGCTGGAACATGTGTATTGTATGAGGTTATTGTACAATGTCATGTTCTTGTACACTATCATCAGTTGAATATAATAAGTACAGTACTTTATGGTTCACCCATATATATTGAGAACTTACCTGTCGCCCCCACATAAGGATGCACACCAACAAATAACGTCATAACAACCAGTGATGTTTTTATCTCATTCAGCCGGCGGATTGATGCCACCTGAGAATAGTAAGATACGACAATAATAATCTGCATCCATTAAGAGAATTATTAACACTAATTTTCACATTTTACGAACAGGCCATAATATTTAATATTATCATCATATCTATACTTGTGGAAAGTCATTAGTCTCAGCTCATATTGTGGTCATATTCAGTGACACCAGCAAGGAATTATTCAAGGTTAAATACACCAAAGTGCAACATCTTCATGGAAAATGATGGCAGAGGAGACGTCTAGCCTTGTAAGATAAGGGCATCCTGGCAGTTTACTTCTCAGTAACAAGAGTCATCGATGAGATAAGTAATAAGTCAGGGATCTCAGCCAACAAATCAATCATGTACAATGTTATGGGATTTACATTTGAGGTGAAGATGTAGCATGAACGAGGTAGACATGGGGAGGAATGATACTGAAAGTCGCCAAACGAGACTCGTTGCAATAAGGGCAATCAGGCATCAAACTGTGCAGGAGAAAACACACGTGTCCCTTAGACTGATATAAAAATAACTGCTAATCACGGATATTTGAGAATGGAGTGGGTACATAACGATAGACAGTTGTGTCATTGGCGCCACGCCATGCACAGTAACAGACACATATTTGACGTCGTCCTGAAAAGGCAACCCTCTGTAGTAGATATGCTTGTATTATCCCCGAAGACACTATGATACATTTACACTTATTCACACTATGTTAACTTACCGTGTCGGGAAATATACCGTCCATAAACATGCTTTACTTCCAATACTCAGTCCAGATATACAGACACAACCTTCAGGGAGACGCGGTGAAACATGTAACACACCGGGAAGTGATCACAGTGACAGCCCGGGTAGACAATACAGAACCGGTTTGAGTTGTACTTGTTCATGGAAGCTAAATAAAGCCGACTGTGCCTGACGACTTACAGAGGTTAACATATCACAACTTGGTGAGTGTCATCTTCAATGCTGCCACCCTCGTGTTGAGGCTATGGAACATTATGGCATATCTACTGCTGAACAGGTGCTTTGTAACTGTCACGAATACTCAGTAACGCATGTAACACCACACCACATTCATGGTCGCTATTCATAACGTGTTTGGGTTGTGTGCAGGCTTTTCTTTTCCACAGAAACTACATAAAGCACTACTGCCTGTTGATTGTAAGTGAGAGCTTTATGCCAGCGCCACCCGTTTAAAAAGCTATTATGTCTGTGCCATTTATGTGTAAGTTCGTTTTATATTTGTGGAGCGGCCGGTTCTCAATATCCATGACCCTCTCATGCAGCTCAAGCGAGTTGTCAGAGTTTTACCTGTACGATGGAAATATTCATTGCTAAAAGGCATCGTCAGATGTGGGCCACACACACACACACACACACACACACACACACACACACACACACACACACACACACACACACACACACACACACACACACACACACACGCGCGTGCGCATGCACATCGTTATGTCAATGCAGTAATCTCGACAGTGACGTTAAACCCCATTTGACGTCTCCTACAGATTGAATATACACCCCACGTATGCATGCATAGATTCAGTGACGGGGGTTCTGACGTGACACAGCATTTATAGGAAAAATGTATGTCTTTCGTCTGTTATTGGTGTAATTCCATGAGGGCAATGAGCGTCAGGCCTAAAATACTAAGTGCAGTTTTAGACGTTGATATTTCAGCAACATGTCGGTAGTCAGGAAAAACGAACGCTGTAATGGTGTGACGGATGGGCCACACTGTGGGATTTGGTCCACGAATGTCAAATTCCAGTAAATATAAAACGTCAATGCAAGAGAATAACCAGTCTTGATCATCCACCAAAACAAGATTCCAAAGGGCAACATAACTGCAAATTATATGAATGGACCACTAAAAATCAATGACACCAGGTGTTCGCGAAAAGAGTGAGCGTGTCCTGCCCCACCTGTAGCACCCGCCATTCACACAGCTTGCACAACAAATGTATCTATTGTCTGGCGCCGCAGGAACATCATGTGTGAATTATCAACATCCTGTCAATTTAACATCATCACAATGCACGTTCTCTGTATTAGACTTATTTAAACCTGTCGTACACCTTGGGTTTATAAAACACGGGAGCCCTGTTGATAAGAGTGTGAGTAAATGTAGGCTTTCCAATCGCAGGACAATTTTATCTGAGGTATCAGTGTAATATCCCGTACTCCTTTCATCGTGTGTATATTTATCCCGTGTGATACATACATGTTTACAGTATGTATTTGTCCCTGAAGGCTAAGTATCGATACCTATAATTTTGTGTTCCTCTTGTATGACTATGAGTGTATGGGACTTTTTGACATATCTCACATCACGAGCATTTCACTGATATGTCCAGCTTTAACCTAAGTCAAGCATCCCCGTTCTTAATCTGGCCATTCAGAGTTCTTAAGGAACAACTTTATAACTACTATACATGATAATACAGCAGACACGTATTTTGTTATTGTCAGTTTTCTTATTTCAATAAAAATGGCAGGCGCGTTTCGCACTTTGAGTCATTTTCCTGACAACATTTGTCTTTATGTCAAATGTCCTGTTGCAAAAAGTATAGCCAGACAGAAAACATGAGGTGATTAACAGTCAGAAAGTATCACTTGGTATGGTTGGCAACGATTCAAGTGCGGATGGTGTCGTCTGAATTCAATGGTTTTAACGTACTATAAATATATGGAAGGGAATTTATGGATGTCAACTTCTTTAGTATGAGGAGCATAAACTTACTCCTTAGCACATACTTAGCCCCCCTCTTTCTCCACTCATCACTGAAATCTTCTCCACAGCACGATTCCAACCCCTCTGGTGGTACCGCAAAGTAGACGATACATTCCCCACTATAGCCCACCAGAGCGATCCCACAGAGCTCCTAAAACATTGACAGAATACCAATGTTTAAGAGTCAGGAGGAACGCCAAAGATGGAGCATGTATATATATATCGTACAGAGAAAAAACACTCAGTTACATTTGTAAACAATCAGTTACATTTGCTAACGTTCTTGGTGTATTTCTACTTTTCCCAGGTTTATGTTCAAGCAGCTTGAAGTTGATTTGTGGGTCCGTCCCTACTTGTTAATGCAAAGTTCAACCTAAAAATGTAAACCATAGTATCAACCAGCACTTGTGGGGATGGTACGGTCTACCATGTAAGAACTTAACCCTCAGCATATGCTCGTCACTTTGACGTATGTTTCCGAGGCCCTTGCTGACTCCGTCAACATAACGTCTTGCAAGTTAGCTTCATGGTAACATTGCAAGGTCATTGCATTGATATTTCTCTCCTTTTTGGAATATATTTCTGTCCTTTTTGGAATACATTGCTGTCCCATTATGGCAATTTCATCACGAGATCAGCTAAACGCTTACTGGTAGACCCGTCTCTGGCCTTTGCCTTTGCAAAAAGTATGTTTGAGGTACATCCAGGTACTTGCAATGACATCGTCACCACTCGAAATATATCTTCGAAATCAAGGGACATAGTTGATTCCAATCTTCTTTGCGAGGATGGGTCATGTCTTCGTCAAACATGTCCATCATATAACATGTGCTCTGTGGCGACAATCACACACACAGCCTGACAGAGTGGAGAATTTCCACTTTCCAATTCTTTTTATGTCAGGCAATAATCCAGCAGCTCCATGCTTTGATGCCTACATGCCAAACATTGTGAGGTACAAATGATCATGTCCTTTCTAAGAAGATTTTAAAGAGCCCAAACGATCCTTGTTTAAAGCCGTCAAGGCCTCGGTAAAGCTTTTAAAACGTTTTGAAGTAGACACATGCAGGACATTTCAAAAGCTGATGCCTCAGTGACAAAAATGATGTTCAGGTGACCCTGTTTTGTTTCAGGTAAACAATTGACTTGCCTTTGCCTGTGTTTGTATTTAGTCTAGTGTCCCAAATCCTAATATAATTTACAATATCTGTTTCTCTCTCGCTTGTTTCAGTATTGCACTTCATTGTTCGTTGATGCATCCTCATGTATAATCAGGTAAACTATCATTTTCTTTGCAAAATACACACACGTTTGATGTGATATATTTTAATAAGTAATCATAAAACCTAAAAATATTTTGCATATTGGAAGTAAGCATTACATAATACGTTGGTATTATCTGAGATAGGGGATGTGCCAGATTGCTCTCTCAACTAATTATGCACTGGTCAGTGGAAACCTGTATCCTCATCATCGTACTCGCAGCTGGGACAACAGCATTGTTGTATCTTGACATTCTTCACTCCAAACCTGTTCAGAGCCGGGTGTTTTTTCCCATAGTGTATGTATAGCACTGCTCGGGGGTTTAACATTAAACCTTAAAACCGAGGACGACATCAGTCAAACAAGTGATGTGCACTTTAAATCTGGATGATTATATCCTTCTCAATAGAATCACATTATCAAACTTAGTGTAAGCCGTTTAGATAGGTATTAGGGTCAACGAACTGGCACCACATCAAACAGCTGGCCATCTGGCATAGTCTTCATCATCTGGCTATTGTAACGCCAATTTCGTCCAGACTGTATATATTCAGAGCATTCAGTTTTCATAACATAAATATAGCTAGTTCTTTGTCCAACACATCAATAAAATATCAAAACACAAATTAAACATCCTCAGCCGGATGGCCTTCCTACATTGTATGTACAGCACTGCTCAGGACTACTAATTTTAGTTCGTTATAACCATAGTTCGTTATAAGTATATATACAGCAAAACTACAGCAAATAGTCGGGACCAAAAAAGTAAGTTCGTTATATCCGTCAGTTCGATATAAGCGTGTTCGTGATAACCGTAGTTTACTGTATGTGTGATTATATGATCATATCTTTATCAACAGAAACACATTATCAAAGTTAGCAGGAGCCCTGTAGACATTGTTCACATTTTTCATGTCATAAATATATGGAGGTGTTTGTCCCAACATATCAATACAATAACCTAAACACAATCTTAACATCACAAGCATTTAACATTTAAGACAATACAACTTACACAGATACTAGGCCAGATTACATGTAGTTTCTGGAAACGGGTAAACTAAATCTACGAAATCATTAGCTTTTCTGCAAAAAACCTTCAGTACTTCAATACAACACTTATAAAGCACATATCATATATGATACAACGATAACTATTTATTAAATGTTAATCGGCCGTAATTTCTGGCACACGTTAAGCGGGTCACATTGATGACATGCACTTATGACAGTTGAACACAGGTACATATATTAGCACACAAAACAGAGACTCCATGTGCGTGGTAATAATATCCATTGGTAATACGCTTAACGCAAGTTGTTTTTAACAAGCAGGTACACATATTTAAGATTTGAACGTCAGTTTGGATGGGTTCATTGAAGTTTGAATGATTTAAAAGTGAACGATTTAAACTTTCGTTTAACCTGCGCTTTTAAATTGTTCACACTTAATGAACCCATCCAAACTGACGTTCAATTCTTATAATTTCATATTTGTAGTTTACTGGTCTCGCCGAATAATATTGTAACAATGTTTGATTAAGTTTGAAGTCCTCTGGCTTCGTTGGAGAACATTATTTTGTCGGTATTTGCCAGCTCTCGGTCACATACGTTTCCCCACTCATACTCAGTTACGCAAAGAAAAATAGTTCTTTGAATATATACAACATAATCTAGAAATATGTCAACATAATTTCTTTCTCTGAACAAATTTACAAACAATATTTGGGATAAATCAAATCTTAAACCAAAATATAAACATGACCTCGATGCACAGAGGCGAGATCAACCTTCAAGCGCGGAGTCATATATGACGTCACACAAGTTTGTAAAGAGGTGCATTTCGAGTCGAACGGGGTCATGGGGGTGAAATTTCTACTTATTACTGTTAAAAATGAAGTTTATGGAGCAGTTACGGAAAACACCCCGACGCGTGAACCGATTTATTAATGTGATGCTTGTGTTTGGGTAATCGCAAACCAATTCGGAAGATGCGGAATGGACTGGTGGGGATTGAACCGAGTGCTCTGAAACTTGTGTGTTTTGTGATAGTTTTCAACGTCAGGATGTGTTATATTTGGAGTTTGGGATTTGTCGTGTGTGCTGTAATACTTTGCTTAGCATGTGGTTTCTTGTCACCTGAGATGGACCTACTGTATGACCTGATACCAGTTTCATTTCTGTGCCCCGTCATTCCTCCTGTGGCGCCGCTTCTCGACCTAGAATGCACGGAGAAGGTCGGCCAACTCAGAAACCGGAATAGTAGATTTCTAATTCCGTCTACGAATATTTTCTCGTCCCCGATGACCAATCAGTAAAGCAGGTAGGCAAGTTTTTTTGTTTTGTTTTAAAAAAATTATTAAACACCAGAACCAGAGCATTTATTTATTTATAAGTCAGATAAAATGTTACAAGACCAGGCAAAAATACTAAATTAATTATATTGCCGATACATGCAGGGATGAAAAAGAAAAATAGAAAAAACGAGTTGATTGTAAACACCGATCGAGAATTCGGGGAAACCCTGGAAAGTAGTGTGAACTTTTGTTGTCCGTTCACAGGTGTGGTAACTCCAAATATCAGATCACGTGACTACCCCTTCAGCCAATCAGCATGAAAGAAACAGTGTAAACTTCAAAGTATGAAATTATTAGCAAATGAAACAGTGAACCAATGTATATGGTAATAACATCATTAGGTAATACACCCAAAGAAAGTAGTTCAACAAGCAGGTACATAAATCAGCAAATGAATCACAGAGACTCAGCAGGTATCCTAATGCTGCAGTAACACATACTTGTAACGAACGGCAAGGGACGTTTTATCCGTATTTCGTTACTTGTCCGCAAACAGGAAGTTCAAAAAGCAGGTATATATATCAGCAAATACAACAGAGTAACACCAAGTATAAGGTTATAACATCCACAAATAATACACCTAAAGCAAGCATTTCAACAAGCTGTGTTATAACACATGCTTGCAACGAACTTCAAGGGAATGGGGACACTGGTTCGTTTTTCCGTATTTCGTTACTCGCTCAACCTTGTTGGTCAGTTTGGATGATTCCCCACTATTCCTATCAAGGTATATATACCGTGTATTTTTACAACCAGTGAATAACCATTCGTGGAATAGTTGACATATTCTATGCTCACAGGATATTCTTTTGGTATTCTCGAAAATAGTAACAGAAATACTTTGACAATCTAAGAAAAACATGAGTTGTATGATAGGCATTACTGAGAAGATATCGGATGACAAAGTAGAGATAATTTATGGACAATATCTTCTCTATTACTGTAAGGGAGACGTTTCGGTTTAGATCCTTATATCGTTGTCAACCCTTGCTAATATTATATTCTTTTGTTTGTAGTAGCAGAAACACTTTGACAATCTAAGAAAATCATTGCGACAATGCACGGTAGTTTTTTATTCTCCGGTTATGGGTACCAATCTGTTGTTGTCCATAAAATATCTCTACTTTGTAAGAAAAAACATTGTGACAATGTATGGCATTTTTTGTTCTCCGCTTATGGTGAGTCTGGTCAGTCTGTTATGCACGTGCCACTACATCGAGTGATATGCAAAAGTGGTTAATTGGCTTTAACTTATATTGAAACAGTCCCGTATAAACCTTGGTATACTGCATCAGTGTTTATTATAACCACGTCCTGCTGTTCCTGTTGTACTTTCTATCATCAAACAGACGTTCCCGTGAGGATTCCGTGGAACAATAGGTCCTCAGCAGCATATGCTGGTCGTTGGAGCCTATCAAATCAAATGGTGGTCAGGAGTGGTGACTGAGTCGGTAGCGTGTCACAGTACCACTTGGTGGAAAGTTGCTCATAATATCAATCACTGGAGTATCTGGTCCAGATTACTTACAGGCATCCGTTATATAGCTAGAATATTGCGTGGTACGGTGTTATAAACAAACAAATACAAAATACATCTGATCAAGCTGTGTGATTATCTGCATATTTCTCGTAGGCGTTGAAGCTGTAATAACGACGATGCATCATAAAACATGAAGAACTCCATGCACGCGACAGTGGAAGTCGTCAACGACCTCTACTGTTGATCCGGTCTCAGTCTCGATCAGTCGGGGGTGTTGACATCCGCGTTCTGGTTGGATGAAACCTTGGATGCTGCTGAAAGAATGAGAGCAATGAACAGGCAGCTGAGTCGAGGTATAACATCGCAGGTTCTGTGCTACTCTATCCCATTGGTGACACTGATGCTATCCTCCGATGCTACAGCAATGAAAGCTTCACAAACTCTCTGTCCACGTACTCCCTGTTCCGATGTATTCTTCAACAGTGACACCTTGTCATCAAATACGATTTCGTATCTTACTTTTTCACATTTTATGTTATTAATCATCCTAGTTTCTGACATAAGCAGCTAATATCTATAAATTATTTACATACATTTACATACATTTACATACATCATAAATTCATGAATATTCATTGCTGCAAAAAACATTATCATTACGTTTACATCCACGATAAATTCATGAATATTCATGAGGCAAAAAACAGTTTCAGAAAACACAGGTATATTTGGGCTTACCTTCACTTTTTCTGCTTGCTGGTTTGTTGGGTTTTGCATAAATGTCTTCAATACCCAGAGTGATCTGTACTTCTGTTGCATTGTGGGTTTTCCTTACCTTGTTGACCTTTGCATACACATCTGAAATGAATACAAGGATTATCTAGTCTTGTGATACATTGTGTATTCAGTAATGTTTATCGGATGTATGTATCGTCTATCGTCTATGATTGCTGGGGAATCATTTCCAACTGCCACAGTTGGTGTACATACATATGAAGTGGATGTATATATCGTCCATATCTCTGTGACGGTGAAAAACGGCATTCTCAACTGCCGCAGTTGGTATACATATATATGAAGTGGATGTATATATCGTCTATGTCTCTGTCAATAGTAAGTTACGTCACCGTCACAATATGATATGAATGACGTCAGTATAACTTACCTGAAATCTGCTGTTCCTCTGCTGACTCCTGGTTCTCAGCTCTGACAAATCCGTGATACAAATCATTATCCTCCATCACTAAACACAGGAAATGTACCACAAATTATAAAATAATCTTATTACGGTTTTGATAAAAAGTCATGAGCCGTTTTTGAAAGTAGATTGTTGTCGTTGAGGATTTATGTTCATATCGGATGTATTCAGCCTTCCCCCGCAAAAATATTCACAGAATCAGACAAATATTTGTTACACATACAAACCTCACTTATTAACAACACGTTCTAAAGTCAACTTTCTGATAAACTTTCTGATTTCTTTGGGTCTCAATCTGACTCACTTCCACCTAACACAATATAGCCTACCGGGCACCTGTTTTCTCTCTGTATTAACCTTAATCACTTCCACATAACACAATATAGCCTATCTGACACCTGTTGTCTCTCTCTCTCAATCTGACTAATTTCCACATAACACAACAAAGCCTACCTTTCACCTGTTGTCTCTGCTGACACCTGGTGTTCATTGTCAACAACTCGTCGATAAAGGACATTAAGCAGATTGAAGTGTTGAAATGTATAAGATAATAAATTACACCCAGGATTCAGATAATATAATATGACAAAACAGTATCTCTAACACAAAGGAAGCATAAGAGTGAGTCATAAACATGCCGATCGTCTCTCTCTCAGAATCCTCATTCTGTCCCCCTTCTTTGCTGAAACATTCAGAGAACAGAAAAATCAGAAATATGTTATCTCCATGGTGACCTCGGGCAAAAAGCGAAATGGTGCCATGATGTCACCAGAATAATCTACAGCCGAAGTAGAGGGTCTTTGTATAAAACCAGGAAATTTAAAGATTCAGTATTTATGTTCAAAGCCAAAGTGGTGTGCTGGTGCTTCTCAGTAATCTATAAAATATGCTCATGATATTGTCGGAATCTCTAACTGACGCTGCTTTTGGCAGAGATTTCTTATGAAAATGGAAAGGGTTTTGTTGCTTTTATTTATTTGTATAATGATGTGTCTAAGACATAATCTATTGAAGACACGATTCCTCATGTTGTAAAACATCTTTCACATTCTTTCAAAGAGACGTTGCTGAAGTATCGATGATGATGCCAGATGCAAGTAGACTAAAACGTTGCAGTGCTGTTTTGATTGATGCTGCAGCTGTTACATGCCACTTAAAGGTGATGTCACCATTCATGTTAGTATTAAGAATTAAAACACAGCAAACACGTACCCGTTGTCTTTCTCTGTCTTGTCTGAAAACAATATTTATTATTGAACGGGGAATCTGTTTCGTTTTCAGTTCATACACATATTGGCAAAGGAATGAATGCGTTAACGTTTTACATCATATGAGATCTCTTTTATTTAAGTAACAAGATTATTCGTATCATATGAACGTAAACGTAGAAGAACGTAAGTAAACATTCATACCATTTGTCTGCCATTTCCCCTCCCGTCTGGATTGTTTGCACAATAACACAACGATGACGATGACAACCACAATCACCACACCACCCGCCGATCCAGCAACAATAGAGATGAAACCAACTGTATGAGTAAAAGGGGCTGAAGGATAATACATACATGTTCATTTCATCAGGACACATCGGATGATAGTAAATCAATACAGATTAAAGCCATCGATAAAACTTGACTGATAATATCGCCAAGTCAATTTCTAAAACAACTTTTCTATGATCGTTAAACATTCTTAAATTAGTAAGGTCAAAATAATGATGTCTTAAAGTTTCACAAGGTTTTGTAAAGAAGTACCTGTATTGCAGTACCCTAGTTTTCATACATACTTTTTGTGGACACTATTGGGTTCGTTGGCATTATATCTGTGTCATCAGTCGTGGATGGACCTTAAAGCATACAGATATACAGTATATAACACATTGAAACAATCGTTTAACACACAGTTAAATCTAGGCCTCACAAAGATTTAAGAATGGGTAACTCAATTAATATGTATTTTTTATGGAGTTGTGAAGCGTCAAGTCACGAAAAATCATGAAACATACTTGATTAAATATTGCCTCAGTGTGCTTTTTTTAAACGGAAAAATCGCACAACAGAAATAGGCTCATGTGTGCAGGTGAGGTGAGGTGAGGTGAGGTGAGGTGAGGTGAGGTGAGGTGAGGTGAAACTTGGTTTAACGTCGAGTCAAAGATTATTGCACTTTTATAGCAACGTGCATGCACGTTTGTGTGTGTGGCTGATTGTACTAGTCCGGACAGATGCCGATGTATAGTGCTAGCTCACTGAGATACCATGCCGAAGATTAACAGGAATACCCCACTCTGGCACAGTATACTGACTCTGAGCCGACCAGTCCTTGTTTTTGACCTTTAATGCCGAGCGTCAGACAAGGTAACAACAAGTATCATCTGTTAATGGCTTTTGGTGTGACGCGACCGGGGATCGAACCCTGGACCTTCCCCTCTCCGGGCGGACGCTAGTCCACGGAGGCAGTCCGGGCATTGTATAAAATTTCCAACAAAAGAAAAGTGCATGCCATATAAAGCCACAAATTGTATGTTTGTCTAAGCCGAATCACTTTAAACATTCAGTTTACATATTTGATTGGACAAATTTGATTGGAAATTTCCACTTCACTGCGGTAGAAGTATATGGTCAGTGAAAGAGGCAGATTGATAGAGAATATGATCTACAAATACGCACCTGTATTTTGTCCTTCAGTGGAAAACGATGCAGTGTCTGTGGTTGATTCAGGACCTAAAGACGATACCACTAGGAATGTAGAATGTCATTGACAATACAAGGCACTATGAAAGCCTACCACAAAAGTATTATCTTTTTTAACATTGTATTTTGTACCTGCAATCTCTTTGAGCCTAAAATATTTCAAATCGTGTTGGGGAATAAGTCAGACTGTACTGTATATAGACGTCATTTCTGGAGATTCGCAACTTGAGGATGTCATGCATTGGACGTCATATATAAATGAAAAACACCCACCACCACTACTACTGCTGCTGCTGCTCCTACTACTACTACCTCCACCACCGCCACCGGCATTACTACTACTACTACTACTACTACAATCATCACCACCAAAACCGCCACTACTACTGCTACTACTACAACAACTACTACCATTACTACTACTACTACTACTAGCATCACTGCTACTACTACCTCCACCACCGCCACCGCCACCGCCATTACTACTACTATTACTATTACAACTACTACTCCTGTTGCTCCTGTTATCACTACCGGCACCACCACCACCACTACTACAACTACTACTACTACTACTACTGCTACTACTAGCATCACTGCTACTACTACCTCCACCACCGCCACCGCCACCGCCACCGCCACCGCCACCGCCACCGCCATTACTACTACTATTACTATTGCAACTACTACTCCTGTTGCTCCTGTTATCACTACCGGCACCACCACCACCACTACTACTACTACTACTACTACTACTACTACTACTACTGCTACTACTAGCATCACTGCTACTACTACCTCCACCACCGCCACCGCCACCGCCATTACTACTTCTATTACTATTACTACTACTACTCCTGTTGCTCCTGTTATCACTACCGGCACCACCACCACCACTACTACTACTACTTCTACTACTACTGCTACTACTAGCATCACTGCTACTACTACCTCCACCACCGCCACCGCCACCGCCATTACTACTACTATTACTATTACAACTACTACTCCTGTTGCTCCTGTTATCACTACCGGCACCACCACCACCACTACTACTACTACTTCTACTACTACTGCTACTACTAGCATCACTGCTACTACTACCTCCACCACCGCCACCGCCACCACCATTACTACTACTATTACTACTACTACTCCTGTTGCTCCTATTATCACTACCGGCACCACCACCACCACTACTACTAGTACTTCTTCTACTACTACTACTACTGCTACTACTAGCATCACTGCTACTACTACCTCCACCACCGCCACTGCCACCGCCACCGCCACCGCCATTACTACTACTATTACTATTACTACTACTACTCCTGTTGCTCCTATTATCACTACCGGCACCACCACCACCACTACTACTACTACTACTACTACTACTACTACTACTACTACTAGCATCACTGCTACAACTACCTCAACCACCGCCACCGCCACCGCCATTACTACTACTATTACTATTACTACTACTACTCCTGTTGCTCCTATAATCACTACCGGCACCACCACCACCACTACTACTACTACTACTACTACTACTACTACTACTACTACTACTACTGCTGCTACTACTAGCATCACTGCTACTACTACCTCAGCCACCGCCACCGCCACCGCCAGTACTACTACTATTACTATTACAACTACTACTCCTGTTGCTCCTGTTATCACTACCGGCACCACCACCACCACTACTATTGGTGAATATTGTATTTTTCTTATAGAATGTTTCTTAGCTATTCTTTCAGAGATATTGTTTGGTTGTTGAGTCGATGCATTGATATCATTTCTAATACATGCATCACGTTAGCACGTAATTTCATCCTTTTCCACCTGTACATTCGGCTCTGCTTCTATCTTGAATAAACACTATGGGATAAATAGTGAGGTTATTGCTAAACCGGGGCCCAGCCTTACATCCCCACACGGAGCCCTGGTCGAGTGTAGAGTTGGTCCTGAGAGTCACGTTGTGCTGCTGGATGGAGGAGCTGACACTGAAACGTCCTGACACAGCCTGGTTCTCGGGGGAGGTGGTGAGGGGGTTGAGTATGTCAGCAGATACGTCAGCATCACTGCTTGTATCAAATATGTTAACAATGTTTCTCTACCACTTGACACCTATCAATGTCCTGTCCTGTGTGGGTGTACAGGACAGTGTGAAGTCTGCTCAATTTGTGGCAGACACAGGGTAGGTGGTCAGGTGGGGAGGCCCTGGAGCATATGTATTGTATGAGATAATTGTTCTTGTACAGTATCATCACTTGAATATAACAAGTACAGTACTTTGAGATTCACCCATACATATATCGAACACTTACCTGTCGTCCCCACACACGGATGCACACCAGCAAATAACGTCATAATGATCAGTGATGTTTTTATCTCATTCAGACGGCGGATTGATGCCACCTGAGAATAGTAAGATAGGAAAATACAGATCTGCATCCATTAAGAGAATTATTAACACTGATTTTCACATTTTACGATTAGGCCATAATATTTTAAATTATTATCATCTCTATACTTGTGGAAAGTGTCATTAGTCTCAGTTCATATTGTGGTCATATTCAGTGATACCAGCAAGGAATTATTCAAAGTTAAAAACACCAAAGTGCAACATCTTCATGGAAAATGATCGCAGAGGAGGCGTCTAGCATGATAAGATAAGGGCATCCTGGCAGTTTACAACCCTCTGTAGACAAGCTTGTATTAGCCCGGAAGATACTATGATACATTTACGCTTATTCACACTTATTCACTAACTTACCGTGTCGGGAAATATACCGTCCATAAACATACTTTACTTCCAATAATCAGTCCATAAATACAGAAACAACCTTCAGGGAGATGCAGGAAAACATGTAACACCCCAGGAAGTGATCACAGTGACAGCCCGGGTAGACACTACAGAACAGGTTTGCGTTGTGCTTTTTCATGGAAGCTAAAAATGGCCCATTGTGCCTGTAGACTCAATAGTGTTATCAGTTTCTCTATCCAAACATGGTGTGTGCTTTACTCAATGCAGCCACCATCATGTTGAGGGTATGGAACATTATGACATACCTACTGCTGAAAAGGTGCTTTGTAACTGTCACGAATACCCAGTAACGCATGTAACACCACTCCAGGAAGTGATACACCCCACTTCCAAGGTCGTTATTCAAAACAGGTTAGGGTTGTGTGCAGTCATTTTTTCACAAAAACTACATAAAGTACTATTCTCTGTTGATTGAAAGTGAGATTACAAAGCTATTATGTCTGTGCCCTTTTTGTGTAAGTTCATGTTAGATTTTTTGGAGCCGCCCTGTTCTCAATATCCAGGACCCACTCATACATTTGTCGCGAGTTCTCCGCATTTTACCTGTACATCGGAAATATTCGTTCCTAAAATCTTCAAATTTGGGCCACACATCCTGAGACTGTGTGGACAGCTAACCTTTGTAAATAAACGGAACAAACCCTTTTCTTATCCAAAAGAAATCTCTGCATTATTTCCATTGTACAATTCGGATTATATCATGTCTTTATCAATCACTTGCAAATAGTAATGATACCAGGTGTTCGCGAGAAGGCGAGAATCAAATACAAACTGCATGGTGCTTCGATGGGGACAGCTAATTTGTAAACGTTGGTGATCTCTTGCTATTTCCTCATCTGCTTACCATCTGTACATTGGAGATGTCAGAAATCCCGACCCATAAACACTCCCTTGATAGAATGTCAAAGGATCCAATTATGCAGCAAAGATATTTTAAGGACTGACCTGTAGACCCTGATTAAAGCTGATATTTTTGCCAGATGCGCGTTTTAATAATGCCAAGATTGTTCTCATAAGAAACAACCATTGTAGTGGCTGTATTGTATATTGAAATTGCCCACTCGCTGTGTTTACAGGCAGCGAAAATGCAATATCTGAAATCAGGATATTTCATACAGACTTGAGTCACGGAGAAGGACTTGTGTTCCACCAGAGACCGCCTCGCGCCTCGTCGGTTGAAAGGATAGAGCCTATATAGAGGGTTGATAGAGATGATGGTCGTGGATTCGATCCCCTGACCAGGTTATGCCAAAAGAAGTAAACAGATGGCACATGTTGTTTCCCTGCCTCTTTCAACAAGGACTTCTTTATTCGGATGCACATCTAGCACAATAAAATGGGCATAATTCCTGAAAGTACATTCATACCACACACACACACACACACACGCACGCACGCACGCACGCTCGCGCTCACGCATGTCGTTATGTTAATGCAATAAACTCGACAGCGACGTTAAACCCCATTTCACGTCACCTACAGACTGAATATACAACCCGCGTATGCATGCATAGATTCAGTGACAGGGGTTCTGACGTGACACAGCATTAATAGGAAAAATGTATGTCTTCGTCTGATATTGGTGTAATTCCATGAGGGAAATGAATGTCAGGCCTAAAATGCTCAGTGCAGTTTTTGACGTTGACATTTCAGCAACATGTCGGCAGTCTGGAAAAAACGAACGCTGTAATGGTGTGACGGATGAGCCACACTGTGGGATTTGGTCCGAGAATGTCAAATTTCAGTCAATATAAAACGTCAATACAAGAGAATAACCAGTCTTGATCATCCACCAAAACAAGATTCCAAAGGGCAACATAACTGCAAATTATATGAATGGACCACTGAAAATCAATGATGACACCAGGTGTTCGCGAAAAGAGTGAGCGTGTCCTGCCCCACCTGTTGCACCCGCCATTCACATAACAACATGCAACGTGGTCAAAATGAATTTTATTCATGCAAAAATCAATCATGACTGTAGTAGAAGAATTTTCTTCATAAAAGTATCATACATTGTATAACGCAAGTTCAATCAAATGTACACACACGAAACACATTTTCTAACAGTTGAGGAGATACAAGTACATTAAGAAACACAAACCAATAAAATATACACATAAAACGCACGTTTTCAAAACACAAAGCAAGTACATTAAAACATTAAGAACACAACCAGACACGAAGTTGTCCATATCACAAGTACAACACAGGACAACATCTAAGACACACGGTGATGTGTATGGGGGTGTCACGGGGATGTCCATATCACAAGTACAACACAGGACATTTAGGACTCACGGTGATGTGTATGGGGGTGTCATGGGGCTGTCCATATCACAAGTACAACACAGGACAACATCTAGGACACACGGTGATGTGTATGGGGGTGTCATGGGGTTGTCCATATCACAAGTACAACACAGGACAACATCCAGGACACACAGTGATGTGTATGGGGATGTCATGGGGTTGTCCATATCACAAGTACAACACAGGACATCTAGGACTCCCGGTGATGTGTATAGAGGTGACAACGGGGTAGAACGTTACCTTCAAAATTCTTTCACCTACACAGTGACGTGCATGCACGTGTGTGTGGCTGATTGTAACAGTCCGAGTGAGGTCGGTTTTATTCATGCTATCTCACTGGGGTACCATGCAGCAGTTTAACATGGATATTTCATCCATTATACTGACTCGGTGTGAATCAAATCTTGTTTTATCCCTTTAAGTCAAACGCCAGGCAGGGAAACAATAAGTACTAACACGAACCAACGATCTTCGCCTTTCTGGAAGTAGTCGTAATTTGTATGAAACAGAACAGAACGTTTTTCTTGTGCTGAGTCTGAGAGTTGTCCAGATCACTGGGGTCCAGATATTAACCATGTTGCATCAAGAATACGGGTTACGTATCACTCAGTGGAAGCGGTTTTCATACTGAGTGTTGTGTTGTAGTAGGCCGGGGACTCAGCGTAGGAAGTAGGAAACTTTTCACCTGTGTGTGTATGATCCAACTCAGTGTAGTTGTTATCAGTGTTCGGGTCACGTGACATGGTGCTGTACATCTGGTTGTTGCTTTCTGCGATGTCTGGAACAACACACGGCACGACTACATTTAGGTGTAATTGTATGAAATATAACACTGATATTGTCTCCTTAGTGAAATGGTGTTATGTGCTGGGGAACAGGTGACGTATCAACTAATGCATTTATGAAATGGTGAAATGATATAAAAAATGTCTCTCAACAAGTAGGACACTTCCATCTGGAGTACAAAGTAAACTCAATTTGAATCGTTATATTTATCATTGTTACCATGGCATCCTGTATTCTGCATCCAGTTTCATGACCATGATGTTGTAGGTGAAGGTTGTGGTCACATATGATATTCATTAATAAGATTAATGAAACTGATGTTGTAACAAGATAGAATCAAGGACGTTGAAATCAGGAGGTGGGATGCTTTTGTCAACGTCTACTTACATTCTGTCTAAAAAGTGCACAAAAATGAAACTGTATAGATGAACATATAAATATATTCATATTTTCAAATTTAAACTAAAACAGTGAAAAGCGGAGTATTATGACACAGTCAAACAAAGAAACGTACATGGCTACCCGATGTAAGCTGCAGAAAGGGGTTGAAATTAAGTAAATGTGTGATAAATAAAATAATATAAAATGAATAAAAACAACAATATCCTTTTCCACAATCATAAGAAAACTCGATTCTAACTTTATCATGAGTGTTTAAGAATGACAATCATATAGTTCGCTAAAAGGTGAGTGTATCATGTCTTACAGGTGGCTCCCATCACAAATACATGCGAAGGAAAATCAATTGTTCAGGTAAAAAGCAACAACGCCGAAACATATGGTACAAGTCAAAATAAGGAATTGCATCGGACACCAATTTTGTCATTAATGAGTCAAATTTGGAAAAGTCCACATTTCCACCACAATACGTTTAGAAAGCTTCAATGGTGTCTTGATTGCTGTAACCTTGATCAAACAACTTTTGAGGAAGCATCGAAAGAATTCTTTGAAGAAAGGGCATGCTTGATGCGGGAATTAATATCACAAAACACAATATTTTATGCATAATATAGGCAAGAGTAGGTGCAATGACACACCTTCTGATGTAGATAACAGAACTATCAATATAATAAGATATTTTTAACTAAACGCAAGTGAGGAGGATTAATATAACTATAATATGTATAATATAATCAAGAGTAAGTGCAATGACACACCTTCTGAGGCAGATGGTGAAACAATTGCTCCAATCGTCGATACAGGATCTTCTGTGGACAAAAAATGATTGTGCTGTGTGTTTTTAAGCCTCACTTAATTCAGTACCATCTTCACATATATTAATACATGGAGTGTGTATTGACACTTTAAATATATTGTACGATACCAATAGTGAGGTTATTGCTGAACCTTCGTTCTACCTGACACATCCGTTTGGTTGATCAACGTCCATTGACGCAGAGTTTATCTGTTCGCTGCTTAACTCATCAATCAGCAATGTTCCAGCTGTAGGCGGAGGTCAAGCAAGTCAGCGAGCCTGACCACCCGATCCCGTTAGTCGCCTTTTGTGGCAAGCATGGGTAGCTGAAGACCTATTCTAACCGGGATCTTCACAGGTCTATTAAACAAGTGGATTACCTTGCATAGACTCTTTGAGTTCAACAGTGATGTCATTGCTGAACTGTTGTCCAACCTTGCACCTCCACACGGAGCCCTGGTCGAGTGTAGAGTTGGTCCTGAGAGTCACGTTGTGCTGCTGGAGGGAGGAGCTGACACTGATACGTCCTGACACAGACTGGTACTCGGGGGAGTCGGTGTCATACACCAGCATGGACCTTGAGAGGGTGGTTTGGAATATGTTCACTGAGTTCCTGGACCAAACAGTTTCTGTTATGTCATCTTCTCCTTCGCAAGACAGTTTTAGGATAACACCATCTGTGCCTGGATGTTTTGTTGCATACACCGAGATGGACACTGACAATGAGACTAATATTTATACATGCCACACAATGATAGTAGTCATCCTCTCAAGAAATTGGGTAATCACTTATTGTAAGTGTCAATTATTCAGCTGCAGGAGATATATCACTGTAATCACTGGCCTCGAATACCATCCAATAAATATAAGCTTCAAAACCGCTTCCATATTCATAAGAAAGCATGACTAAGATCGATTGTAAGATTCCGACTATATTATGAGCATGTGTTAATGAATCACTATCAAATAGTCATGATACCAGGAAAAAAGGTGAGCGTATCCTTCCCACCTGGTTGTACTCATCACAAACACATGTAAAGGCACGTAAAGTGTTCACTTGTAAAAACACAGGGACACATGTTAAAGCCAAATGGGAATTGCATCGGACATTTTGTCACTGACATGTCTACTATAAAGCTTAGTGGAAGTGTTGCAATAGAACGCTCAGTATTGTATGTCTGTACCCGGTATTTTGAAATTGGCTTCCTTCTTTCTGTTATCAACCCATCAGTATTCCTTGACATTAACAATTGGCTTCCTTTCTTTCTGTTATTAATCATCCATTATCCCTAGACATTCAAAGTTGGTTTCCTTCTGTTGCTACTCTGTCATCAACCATCACCCTGTGTGTATACCCTTATACTGGTTCCGTTATCAGATGTTAATAACCCTGTTCTGTGCTGTCTTACTTCACACATTGATTGACAACAGTATAAGGATTTTATAACGAAACGCCGTATCACAATTGAATAAAGAAGTTTTCAACCATTAAATGTAATGTCTATACTACTATTACTAACCAACTTCTACCAATGCCAATCAAGCAGTTTTTACTGAGACATTGAATATAACCTTGATCAAAACAATTAATTAAAAAACCTAATGTCGGTAAATACAAAGGTCAAAGCTGAAGTCATTCCCGATCATCTGCCAAAATAGATTAACACAACATGCCAAGCAGCATTCACTACAGTGAAAGTCAATGATTACACAAGAAGAGTGTGGCAGCATATATCACTTTAAACATTAAGTTTCAAACACTGGCAAGTTCGCTGCTAAATGTCCACTTCAGTGTGGTAGAAGTATATGGTCAATGAAAGGGGCGTAGTGATAATGGATATAATCTACAAATACGCACCTGTATGCTGTCCTTTAGTGGCAAACGTTGTACTGTCTCTGGTTGATTTAGGACCTGGAGACGACATCCCTAGGAATGTAGAATGTCATGAACAATACAAGGCACTAAAAAAGCCTACCTCAAAAGTAGTATCTTTTTTAACATTGTATTTTGTGCCTGCAATCATTTTGAACCTGAAATGATTGAAATCGTGTAGGGTTTTAAGTCAGACTGTACTGTATATAGACGTCATTTCTGGAGAATCGCAACTTGAAGACGTCATATATGGGCGTCATGTATTACTACAACTCCCACCACCACTACTTCTACTACTACTACTGCTACTACTACAACCACTACAACCCTTACAATACTATTGCTACTACTACAACAACTACTACTACTGCAACTACTACTGCTGATTCTTCTCTTACCACCACCACTACTTCTACTACTGCTACTGCTACTGCTACAACTACTACAACCACTACAATACTATTGCTACTACTACAAGAACTACTACTACTGCTGATTCTTCTCTTACTACTACTACTACTACTACTACTACTACTACTTCTACTACTACTACTACTTCTACTACTACTACTACTACTACTACCTTCACCACCACCATCGCCACCACTACTACTGCTACTACTATTGCTACTATACTACTACCACAACAAAGACAACAAGTACTACTACTGCCACTGCTGCTTCTACTATGACAACTACTACTAGAAACATCCCCACCACCACAACTACTACCTCTCCTACTATCACCGCAACTACTACTACTGCTACTAGTACTGCTACCACAGCTACAACTACCTCTCCTATTATCACCGCCACTACTACTACTACTACTACTACTACTACTACTACTACTACTACTACTTGTTACTGCTGCAACTACTACTATTACTACCACTACTAGAAACACCACTACCACTGCCACTACTACATCTACTACTACTACTACCACCGCCACTACTACTGCTATTACTGCTACTACTACTTCCACCACTACCACCACCACTACTACTACTACTACTACTACTACTACTACTACTACTACTACTACTACTACTAGAGAGAGAGATATTGGTGAATATTGTATTTTGCTTTTGATTGTCCTGAGAGTCACGTTGTGCTGCTGGAGGGAGGAGCTGACACTGATACGTCCTGACACAGACTGGTACTCGGGGGAGGTGGAGAAGGGGTTGAGTATGACAGCAGATACGTCGGTATCACTGCTTGTATAAAATAAGTTAACATTGTTTCTGTACCAGGCGACTCCTATCAATGTCCTGCTCTGTGCGGGTGTACAGGACAGTGTGAAGTCTGCTCCATCTGTGGCAGCCTCAGGGTAGCTGGTCAGGTGGGGAGGCGCTGGAACATGTGTATTGTATGAGGTTATTGTACAATGTCATGTTCTTGTACAGTATCATCATTTGCATATAACAAGTACAGTACTTTATGGTTCACTCACCCATATCGAACACTTACCTCTCGTCCCCATACACGGATGCACACCAGCCAATAACGCCATGACAACCATTGATGCCACCTGAGAATAGTAACATAACAAAATAATGAGCTGCATCCATTAAGAGAATTATTAGCACCGACTGTTACATCCGCTTGAATATGAACGCAGAGGAGACGTCTAGCATGATTGCCTTGTAGGTAAAGGCACCATGACAATTTACTCTTCAGTAACAAGAGTCGATGCAAGTAGCAAAGAGATGGCAAAGCAATACGCGCCAACAAATACAATGTTATGGAATTTACACAGGCAAACATGTTATGTAAAAACGAAGCATGGGTTCCGTCTTAGCACAAACGGGCATACCTAAAACAATTATCAACTCGTTGCGCAATGGTTCACATAAATTTCCCCATATATTATATATATATTTCTGATGCAATTTAAAGCACATCTGGACATGTGGAGTTATACAGTATGTTTGAACACTTTTAACTGTGTCTTGGATATATTTTTAGATGCAAGATATATGTAACATCAAATATTGTTTCTGAGGGATTCTTTGACGAAGAACTCGAAATCATACGCGCATTCTGATTGGTTTGTCGTGTTTTAGCACATAGCATTCATCGGCGGAGGGACGAGTCTTCTTGCAGGTTTTGGAGGGGCGAGTAGTGACGAATGGTCGCGGTAGACATAAGAAGGAATGACAATGAAGGTCTCTGCCGCTGTTGCACGTGCACCAAGCTCCGTCGCGAGTAGACATTGACAATGCATGGAACACGGGTCTTAGGGAATCGTGGTCGTCATCATCACCGTCTTTAGGGTCATAAGGAAAGAAGCTGTAATCAATCGGTTGAAAACTGCAGGAGTAAACACACGTCTTCCTGGATTGACATTAATATAACTGCTGATCAGGGGTGTTTGAGAATTAAGTAGGCGTCATAACATTAGACAGATATTAGACAGTGGTATCATCAGCGTCACGCTATGTTTAGTGACGAACTTCATCCTGAAAACAATTGTATATAAACATGATTGTATTACTCCAGGTATGGAGATTATTAAGCGAGCATATTTATCATACTGAGTTCACGAAACTTCAGAACTTTTGTATTTCTCAAGCGAGAGTGATTTCAGTCACACATGCGAGTGTAATTATTTTTTTTTTACCCTTTATTTTTTAAACTTTTGAACTCCCCTTCAGGAGAATACACTGATAACGACCACAATTGATCAATGACGTCAAACATTTGAGCAGAGAACTGATCTCTAGAATTTCTATTACGATTCGAATCACGTCAACAATGACGTACACAATACACTCGTGCGCGTGAAGTGATATTTGCAAGAGGGCACAAAAGGTTTTTATTGACTCGATTATTTTTTACCCTTCAGAGGGTGGCGGGGTAGCCTAGTAGTTGAATCATTCGCTCTTCACGCCGAAGGTCCAGGTGCGATTCCCCAAATGAGTAAAATGTGTGAAGCCAATTTCTAGTGTCCCCCACCGTAATATTGCTGGTATATTTCTAAAAGCAGTGTAAAACCATACTCACTTCATCTGACCCTACGAACAGCAGTCACCAAGACACGTTTACTTGGTGTCACAGAAATGCTTTTACGTCCAATACTGATCTCAGATATACAGACACAACGTCACGGAGCCGTCATAACGCATATAACACCACGTTAACTTACCATGTTATGAATTATACCGCCCACAGACATGCTTTACTTCCAACACTGCGCCCAGATGTACAGGTACAACGTCACGGAGCCGTCATAACGTATAAAACACCACGTTAACTTACCGTGTTATGAACTATACCGCCCACAGACATGCTTTACTTCCAACACTGCGCCCAGATGTACAGACACAACGTCATGGAGCCGTCATAACACATATAACACCATGTTAACTTACCGTGTTATGAACTATATCGTCCACAGACATGCTTTACTTCCAACACTGCGCCCAGATGTACAGACACAACGTCATGGAGCCGTCATAACGCATATAACACCATGTTAACTTACCGTGTTATGAACTATATCGTCCACAGACATGCTTTACTTCCAACACTGCGCCCAGATGTACAGACACAACGTCATGGAGCCGTCATAACACATATAACACCATGTTAACTTACCGTGTTATGAACTATATCGTCCACAGACATGCTTTACTTCCAACACTGCGCCCAGATGTACAGGTACAACGTCACGGAGCCGTCATAACGACTATAACACCATGTTAACTTACCGTGTTATGAACTATACCGCCCACAGACATGCTTTACTTCCAACACTGCGCCCAGATGTACAGACACAACGTCATGGAGCCGTCATAACGCATATAACACCATGTTAACTTACCGTGTTATGAACTATACCGCCCACAGACATGCTTTACTTCCAACACTGCTCCCAGATGTACAGACACAACGTCACGGAGCCGTCATAACGCATATAACACCATGTTAACTTACCGTGTTATGAACTATATCGTCCACAGACATGCTTTACTTCCAACACTGCGCCCAGATGTACAGACACAACGTCATGGAGCCGTCATAACGCATATAACACCATGTTAACTTACCGTGTTATGAACTATATCGTCCACAGACATGCTTTACTTCCAACACTGCGCCCAGATGTACAGACACAACGTCATGGAGCCGTCATAACGCATATAACACCATGTTAACTTACCGTGTTATGAACTATATCGTCCACAGACATGCTTTACTTCCAACACTGCGCCCAGATGTACAGGTACAACGTCACGGAGCCGTCATAACGACTATAACACCATGTTAACTTACCGTGTTATGAACTATACCGCCCACAGACATGCTTTACTTCCAACACTGCGCCCAGATGTACAGGTACAACGTCACGGAGCCGTCATAACGCATATAACACCACGTTAACTTACCGTGTTATGAACTATACCGCCCATAGACATGCTTTACTTCCAACACTGCGCCCAGATGTACAGGTACAACGTTCAACCAGGGAGACACAGTAACGCGTGTAACACCACACCAGGAAGTGATCACAATGACAGCTCGGGTAGGCAATACAGAACCCGTTTGCTTATCTACATAATGACGGACATAGGACACTGAGAAAGCTTTATGTCATATACATGCGATTACAAAGCTGCTATGTTGATTTGCAAATAGAGTGACGCATATGTTGGTGGCAGATGTGTGGTCCGGCCCGGCTCTCACTATCCCTGGCACACTCATGCGGTTCACTTGTCCGTGTTTTAGCGCTTCACCGGAAGTACTCCTTGCACACATGTTTACGTCAGTCTGTACTTGAGCAAGAGATGGAACCCACATCTGTAGACTTTAACAATAAAGCCTCATTGCTAGGTTGTGTTTTATTTTAATTACTACAACAAAATATATATTTGTTCAATCAGACCAAATGGATAATCTTTGGATGTCAGAATTACGACTATGTCTGTTGTTTGTTGCAATTACTTGTAATAAGTTGTATGATTTTTTCATCTGTTGAGGGGGCGGTGGGGTAGCCTAGTGGTTAAAGCATTCACTTGTCATGCCGAAGACCCGGGTTTGATTCTTCACATGGGTACAATGTGTGAAGCCCATTTCTGGTGTCCTCTGCTGAGATATTGCTTGGATATTGCTAGAAGAAGTGTAAAACCATTCTCACTCACTCACTCACTCATCCGCTGAGTCTCTGCTGGCAATA